TTCTCCCAATCCATCATCCTCCCACATTGTTACACTCTCCTCTTCCCTTGCGCTCCTTTGCCCAGTGTAGGTGGACTCCAGTGCCAACATATTTGCACTTCTCTGTGCTCCTCACTCCCCTCACCTTCTGGGGCAATGGGGTGGCTCCAGCTTGGCGGTGGGCGAGGGCCCATCCTTTGCCCTGTAGAGGCAGGCAGGCAGTTATAGCTTCCCCAGACCCCTGTTGTCACTGGAGGATGTGCCTGCAGCAATAACCACTGCTGCCTGCCCGGCAGCTCTGCTTCCTCACCCCTCTCACTGTGTACTCCAGAAATAAACAGATCTGTTAGATATGTGGTCCAGGCAGTGACTTGGGGATCACATCCTCCCTTTGCTCACCACGGTCTGGGCTAGGGGGGATGAGATGCAGAGCCAGGCCCAGGTCATGCTGCTTGCCCAGCCTGGGGCACAGGTGGAGGAGCACTGCCAGGTGTGGGTCTTGCTGTGGGGATGGAGGGGATCCATATCTCCTAGGACTTTAGAAAAGTCACCTCTTCCTTTGCATGGGTGTCTTAACACTGACACATGGAGCAGCACCACGTAAGAGGGATGGAAGGGAGCACAGCTCTTAAAGGAAAGTGTCTTGGGGAAGCTGAGGGAAAAGAGGATCCACTTGGATAGGATGGAGTTAACCATGGATCTGGGAATGGAGGGCAGCCAGGAACTCTGGACCCTGGAAAAGGACTGAAAGAGGTAATGTAACCCTGGGTCGAGTCTGTGGGAGGTGGATGTTTTCCCCTGCTTCCTTTGAGGCTATGCCAGTTATAGTTGGAAGCAAAAGCCTTCCACAAAAACGACAGTGGAGTGCCGTGGGGTGAGACTTTTCATAGCATGGCTCAGAGCAGGACTTGTCAGTGTGTCCTGCCCCTTGCTCACACCCCAGAAGGGCATTGAAGCCCAGATGGCCCCAGGGGTGCTCAGCACTTGGAAGAAGAGTGACCTTGCATACCTTATCCATCCCAACATCAATATCCCTTACATAGGTGCCCTTTGGACCAGCCCAGCTCTCTGGGACCAGTCTCCCCGCTGCATAGCAGCGCCCAGCCCTGGGACAAGCCAACCTGGCTCAGAGCACAGACGGCAGAGGTGTGACAGCAGGAAGAAATGACCCCTCAGCTGCCCTCCAGGGCTGCCCTCTCCTCCAGAGGCTCCCTAGGGCTGGATAGAGGTGGGCTACTTGCACTTGTCTCTTGACTGCCTGTGAGCTGAGCTGCCCCTTGTGGGGTGGGAGTACCGTAGGGCTTACCAGCCCAGCCTTCCTGCTCTTCCATGCAGCCCCAAAGCCCCTGTGAAACAAGGGCTCAGGTGGGGATGGAGCACAGGAGCAGGCATGCAGAGCTGTCACTGCTGTCCCAGCTGCAGGGCCTTATCACACACACACAGGCCCCATTGTAGGGCATGGTGACATCCTGGCTTTGGGATGACAGGTGTGCCTGGCATAACCTTACCAGAAGTCCCCTCCCTCCCTCTGGGTGCCAGCTGGCAGATCCCTTCCCTTGCAGCCTGGCATCTGGCAGGCCCAGGATCGCAGGGGGGGCTTCCCCAGCTGCCAGCTAATGCTGCAAGAAGTGGCCTGGCTCATCCTCCTCCTTGCAAATGGGACAAGGAGGATGCTCAGCAGAGTCCTTAAATGGTGGTGTGAGGTGAGGAGCAAGGGGGCCAGATGTGACCAAAAGTGCTCTTAGCTTTGGGGTTGTCCTGGGACGGGCACTAGCCAGTGAGAGCCAGCCCAGTCCACTCCTGCCTTTCCCACATGTATCCCATAGATCTGCTTTGGGTGGGAGTGCATAAGGTGGGCCAGCAGCACCCATGGGTGCACAGCACTGTTGCTTCGGCTCCCCAACATCACAGTCTTTTCTGCACCCCATTCCCCTGCCTCCCACAGCCCAGAGCTGCCTGCTCATCCTGGGGTTTCCCCTTCTCCCACCAGCTGCTCATGTCCATCCCCCAGGCATGGAATGGGGGCCAGGACCGCAGCCCATCCCCACCTGGCCCCACCAGCTGCCCTGGCAGCTGGGCTCTGGCCCCGTCTCCCCCTTGGCTATGCTTCGCTCTGCGCTGGGCCCACGGCTGCAGGAATGTCATTGCCGTCGGCACAAGGGGCCTTTGTGCAAGTGGAGACAGGGTGTGGGGGGCCCAGCCCAGCATCCCAAGCCAGGGTTGGGTAGAGCCACAGCTGAGGACACGCGGGTGGGCAGCAGCTGACACCAGCATGGCCCCACAGCTCCCACCAGGCTCGGTGGCGTGTCCACTACTGCAAGGGCTGTCAGGGAGGAAAGCCCTCTCCCCATCCTCCTTGTCCCTCTGACACCAGCAGCATCCTGCAGCCACCGCCAGCCCAGGAAGCAGCACCAACACCAGTACAGAGCTGGAATCATCTTAGCAAGCCTCGGCACCTGTGCCAAAGGATGCTATGGGCTCAGTCACCCTACAGGGGGATTGGGAGGACTCGGGCATGGGGCAGGGGCCAGGAGTACCAGGCAGCAGCTGCTGGATTTGGTCTTTTCCAACAGCTGCTGTCTCAGCGCCAACAGCAGGCAACGTGCATGGGCTGGGGCTTTCCAGGGCCTGGCCGCAGTGCGTTAAACAAACTATTTATAGTGCTCACGTCCCTCCTTGGCAGGAATGGCCTGCGTTCCTCCTGCGCGGGGGTTGGGTGCTTGGGTGCCACCAGTGTCCCCACCACCAGCACCCTCTGGGGTCCCTGCCAGAAGGGTAAGGTCTCCTCAAAGAAAAGACTCTGGCCACCTCTCCTCTCGCTACCCTACCATTTCTGTAAGCTCCCAGTGCTATGCCCAGAGCAAGATTTGCAGCGAATCTCGTACACCTTGTGAAGAGGTACCAGAGGGCTATGCCCTTCTTCCCAGCATTCCTGCTCTCTGCTAAATCCTTTGGAGCCTTAATCATGCAACAGCCTCTTTGAGCACGAACAAGTGCCAATGGCTGCTCTGTCCCCTGTGCCTGCCTCTGAGACAGCACTAGGGTCTTGCCATCCCATGAAGCAGAAATGCTGTTCTGGGAGCAGGCTGAGTGCTGGCAGGTTGCTCATGGGACAACGGCCAGGGACCTAGCCCACTCCCAAAGCCTGTGCCAGCTTTGCCTGTTGTCTGATGGGGCATAGGACTGCTCAGAAGACACTCCCTCCACCAACAGGCAGCACTAACCAAGAGGAGTTGTACCAGGAGGAAGCACAGCTGTGTCCAGCCCAAAGGCTGGCATGTCCCACACCCATGACCCTCCAGCTGTGCCTCCTACGAGGTGGTCTCCCAGTGGGTCATCCTCTCCCAGAGGAGACAGAGACATTGGTTGTCTGAGATCTGTCCAGAGGATGTGTGGGCTGTGAACTCACCCCTGCTCAGCAGCTTAGAAGGAAGCTTTGAATAAGTCGAATCTCCGGGGCTTTGGGATGGCAGGGAGAAGAGAGGACAGCTCTACACAGTCCTGCCACCACTCTGAGCACAGACCCCTATGTGGCTGCTTCCAGCCCTGCTCTCTCATTGCCAGTGCTGCTCCATCCACAGGCTTCCCAGAAACCCACACTGCCCTTTCGCTGCCCAGGGACATCTCCTGCTCCTTGTTTGCTGATGTCCAGCTGCTAGCTGATCATCTGAGAGAAGTAAGTGCTATGGAGGAGTATACAGTCCCTGTTTGGACTCAGGAAGTGGATCTCAGCCCTTCCCAGCAATTAATAGTGGATACTTGGTTGTGCCATTAGTTGATAAAGAAAATGGATGCCTCCAAGGAAGCAGCCTTGACAGGTACCCAGCAAAACAGAAGCCAACCACCTGGTGAATAATTTTGAGCCCTCCTCATGGAGAGGGATAAAGGATAGACAAGAAAAAGTGTTGAGAGACAGAGCAGTGACTGCAGGACCAGAAAGTCTTCTGGGGATCAGAGAAGTTACAGCAAGGCTCTAAGTGCCTTGGCCCAGGAAATGCACAGGCACAGGAATCTGCTGCCCTAAATGTTGTGTTTTGAAGTAGACACTGGTGTGATTTCATTTTCTTTTAAGGTTGTATTCTTTTCCCAGCTCTGTGCCTGACTTGACAGAGGAGCAGGTTTATGTCCCTTCAACTCCCTGGGCTGTACTTTTGCCCAACTGTGAATGGAGGCTAAAGACCCTGACCTTCCAGACTCAGTAAGGTCTCTGCATTTTTGGCAAGAGACAAAAATCTGCCTTTTACAAGTCCCAAGAGCAATTAAGCCCTGCCCCACCTTTTGCCCAGTGCTGGAATGTTGCAAGCATCTGGCTCTCAAAGCAGGGTGAGAGCCTCATGCGCTCCCTCCCTGGGAAGAAACAGGGTTCTGCAGAGGCCACACACTAGAGTCCCTTTGTTCCCAAGGGATTTGCCGTCCCATCTGTTGTGCACCTCTGCAACATTACACTCACATGCAACATAACACTCAGAGGCAATGCCCCCAGCAATGTGCTGCAACACCTCTGCTGCAACATCTCTGCACTTGGCCAGCACCTCCCTTTCCCCCGTGGGACTGGAGGACAGGATTCCCCCAGCAGGGATGGTAGGATGGTCAGTTCCCCCAGCTCAGGCAGGACTTTTCCTAGTAAGATGCTCCCAGGCGAATAAGATCTCCACTCTTCTCCATCACTGTGGTCACTAACACTGACCTGGGGTGCTCCACTTTTCACCCCAGTGGTCCCCAGCCTGCACAGAGAGTAAGACACTGCGAGGGCCCACTGCACAGGGACATGATATTCCCACCGGAGTTGTACAGCTGGGGAAAATCGAGGCACCAAGCGAGGCACTGACTTGCCCCAGATCAGCTGCAGCATAGCGAACCCAAGAGTCTGAAGGGCAGGCCAAGCATTGCACCCACTGCCTCCCTGATCAAAGGGGAGAAGCTCCCTCCCAGGGAAACATAAACCCTGACACAGCTGCAGCAAAGCTTTGGCTCCTGCTTCCTTCGTCTGAGCTCTTCCCACTCCCCGAACCACCACCGGCATGGGGAGGGTGGCAGCACACGGCAGAGCAGTGCGCCTGCTCCAGGGCCTTCTGACCATGGCAGACCAGGAGCCTGGGAGCCTCCGGGAGGCCAATCCCAAGGGGCTGACGTCAGCCCTGGTCCTTGAAGCTCTGGGGCTGTTTCAGCAGCACATGGTGTCCCTGTGAGGCACAGCCAGCCTGCTTTCCTCATCCATGGCTGGCTCCCTGAGAGCAATCTATGGGGCTGGGAAAGGTCACCCTGGCTGAACCAACCAGCCTTGGATGGGACGCACTGGGCACAGGACAGATTACAGCAGGCGGGCAGGGAAACAGAGCAGTAGCTTTCAGTCAGTCCCCCGTGTCTGTTCATTCTCCTAAATTCTTCTTGAGCGAGAGCCAAGGGTAGGGACTTGGCAGGGTTTTTGAAGGGAACAACAAGGGAAGGAAATGAAGACAGACAGCCACCAGGAACAAAACAAAGGTTAGGAGCAGGAGGGAAGTGGAAGGGCACAGACGTGACCATGGACCTTCCTGCCTGTACCCTCACCCTGGCTGCTTGCCGCAAGCTAACTCAGCTTGGGAACACAGCTGGAAAGCATGGGACACTGCTTACCATCCTGCTCTGGAGCCCCACATGGAGCCAGATCAATGCTCTTTCTCAGGAGAGTACCCATTTGCTCCTCAGGATGTTGTGCCTTAGGCCATCCCTTGCCCACTCTCTTGTTGGCCCACCTGGCCTGCATTCCTGGCCCACATTCCCGGCCCTTGTGGCAGCAGGGTGGCAATTGCTTGCACTGTCAGGGAATGACAGGCAAGAATATTTTGGACTCAGCTGCCTGCCCAAGGGCTTCAGCAAAGACCTGTAGTGAAATAGAATTCCATCCTGCCGGCCCACATTTCTGTGGTGGGCAGATGTTGATCCTCCTTCGCCCCCCTTCTTTCCCCAGCGCTGCCACCGCGACAAATGGGGTCTTGGCTGCTAAGCAGTATCACTTACAGGGAGCATGTGTCTAGCAGGGGAGGAGGGGGCATTTAAATGAACAGCTGGGGTTTTTTTGTTGTTGCCCCTTGCTCTGGAGCTGTTCTGGCCATTTGGGCTGGTGGCAGGTCCACGTTGAGGCAGGTGAGCAGTCCAGGCTCCTCTGGGACAAACGCCTGAGCGGTGGAAGCAGGAAGGATCTCAAGGAGGGTAAGAGTCACCAGGGCAAGAGGTGGGCAGCAGTTCCCTCCAGCGCTTCACCCTCGAGCCTGCCCCAAGCAGCGCCCCACTCTCAGGAGGGTGCAGACCCCCCAGGATCCCGTTCGGCTCAGAAGTTCCAAAACGTGAGGAGCTGCCGGGCACCCCCCGCTCCGCCAGGTTAGCTCAGGGGTCTGACGGTGCGCCCGCAGGC